AAAAAAAAAAGTATTAAATATAATTATTTAATTAATATTAACGATAAAAAGTTTTTAGACTTTTCGTTTTGATTTAAAAAAATTTATTACTTAAAATTTTTTATTTTCTTATTTTAAATCTAGAAAAAGTTTTAATATTTTTAATCAATTAAAAAAAATCTCAAACATTTGCATATGACCAGCGTAAATAAAAACTGTTATAATACCTGACGTAATTGACATATCGAATCTCTGTACTTTTGAATTTCTGGGCAATATAGATCTAGTGAATTAAAAAAAAAAAATCCAATAATTTAAAAACTACAAATAAATGCCTCGGAGGATTTATAACTTATATTCAATAGTTAATATCTTTCTTTAAATCTTTGTCAGGTTAATCATATGTTATAAATAATAATTGATAATATTTAAAATAAGTATCGCGTATTTTCACAACAAAATTAATAATCGATTCCATGAATTGAGTAATAATAATAATAAAAATAAAAATAATAAAAAAATTTCAGTCCGATATGACAATATTGTTTATGCAGTTAATGCCATAAGAGAATAAAGAAAGAGAATTAAAAACAATAATAATTTTTACAATGCTCATTACAACGAGCTACTTGAGGTAATAAAACTTATTAAAGGTAAAGCCCTTATGTGACAGAGGGTTTAATATTTAGTCATTAATATTTAAGAAACTGGACAGTAAATATTATTAATATAAAAAAAAAATCAGCTCGTAAAAGTGATTGCTTACGCTTGATAATTTATATTTTTCAATGAGAAAAATATTACTGGAGCTGTATAAAAAATATTAAGTTAATTTTTCATGCAAAAGAATGAAGAATTTAAATAAAAAATGTTATAAGTTATAATTAAAAAGAGAAAGAAAGAAAAGAAGAAATGAAAAGAGTTAATAAATGTACGATGTATGTGTATGTATGTTTGTGTGTAGATACGTTGCCGTAAACCGCGCTTACTAATAATAATTGATAATTAATGATTAATATTATTGATGAAAAAAAAAAAAAAAAAAAAAAAAAAAAACCAATTGCTCTTAAATATGTAATAATTCTCAATTTTAATCGATATTAAAATAAAAAAACAAAGAGAATAAAAGAAAGTGGATGATATTGATCGAAAAGAGTTTTAAAATTATTAAACTATTATTGTCACGTAATAATTTTCCAATTTATTCGTGTCTGTAAATATTATGTTTTTATATATATACATTATTATAATTATTATTATTATAATTATAATTATGATTATAATATAAGCGCAACTTATTAATCGATGATATATATTTATTATTAAGTATATAAAGTAAAATTCGGGTCATATTTTACTGTTAGCATAATATGCAGCGAATGTCATCAATAAAAAGAAACATTATTAACCCATTTATTGTATTTTTTATTTATTTTGCTTACAAACATTTTTTTCAAGTATCCACAAAATTCACGTGTGAAATTATTGTGATAGCCAAAAATAAAAAATAATAATGAAAATTAAATTAGCCGACTTCTAAGAATTTTTATAATTTTTTTTTTATTGAAAAATAATTTAAAAAAAATTAAAACAAAAATTTTCACATGTAGAAAATTTTAAAAATTATCCGTGGAATTTTTTAAAAATAGTTTTTTAGTTCTAATTTTTAATTTAAAAAAAATCAAAAATTTTTGAGTGTCGGCTAACTTAATTTTATGACACTGAAATTAGTAGACGTCTAAAAATTTTTGATTTTTTTCATTAATTAAATTACAACTTAAAAAAAATATTTCTAAAAAATTGCACTTATAGTTTTTCAAGTTTTTTACATGTGAAATTTTTTTTTTAATTGTTTAATTGAAATTTTTTCATTTTAATTTTCATAAAGTAATAATCTATTTTCAATTTATAGTGCATCAATCAGGGAGTATAAATTTTTAAGGACTAAATATGCGCGAAAAAAATTATTGATTATTAAGTGAAAGTTTGTAAAAAAAAAAGGATGAATTTAAAGAAAATTGCTTTCAATTGTAAGTATTTATTAAATTTATATATATTTATACATTGTGAGGTAAGCATACAAATCATACACCCATTGTAATATGAATGTTATCGAAGATTAACAACTTTTTTTAAAAGGCATAATTGCACGAGGTACAAATAAATGATTGACATTCCCAGGTATGGATTCAAATTTTTCCATTCTGCTTCTACTCGTCACAAGCTCAAGACGAAAGATATTATAATTTTAAATACATATTTTTAGTTAAAGTAAGTGATAATTATTTATTAAATAAAATTCAGAAGTATTTAGTAATTTATTTTATTTTTTGCAGTATAAAATCAATTAGATTTATTTCTCAACAGTGATTTAACATTTTACTAATTGTTAATAAAAGTAAGTGTTAACAATTTTTATAATTAAAATGTATTTTCAAGTAATTTAATATATTTACATTATTTCTTTCAGAGTTAATTCACAATCGTTTTATTGTAAAAAAATGGCACGCCCTTTGTATGTAAATAATAATTCTAAAAAAAAAATTATTGATCTTACTCGAGTTAATTTAACAGTTTTAATATTAGTATTAATAATACTTGTGATTTATTATTTATTCTATGTGGATTTGTGTGCGGCTACATGTTCACTATAAGTTATATTTATCTTTCTTACAATTACAATCATTAAATTATTGTTAAAAAATTAACTTCATTCATTTATTCGTAGAGTAATTCAAGTAATTTTTTTTAACAATGAGATCTATGTTACAAGAGATTTATTGTGCACATCACACTCATGTCGATGTAGTAACAAATCTTGTTATCACAAAATTTTTGATGAGCTTCTAGTTGGTATTATATCTTACAAATTATTTAATATATTTTATTACTTAAAATGTAATAAAAAAAATGCTTATTTCTTCTTCAATAACAGGAATATTTATAAAACTTAAAATCATCAAAAGACGTGACCCTGCAAATTCAGAATTTTAATATTAAATTTATATTAAAAAATTTGAAAAAAAATTTTTTTTAATGTTTGGAACAAAAATTATTATTATTTTTAAATAAAAATTAAATATAATGATCAATTAATTAAATAAATAAAAAATATTTAAAATCTTACAGTCCTGTAATTTTGAAGTTTCGCAAAAGACTGGCAAAAATACTTGTCACTTTCTAAATATATACCTTGTCGAAGCCGGTCATAAAAAAAATATTTTTTTAATTCTTTTCACCTATGTATCGGCTTATGAAGGTAGGCTTAAACGTGGGTAATCAGTATTTTGTTATCCTCAAGAACAATAACTGAAACGTGCGTCGTTGCTATTTCTTGCGGTAAGTAATAAAATAAACCAAACACATGTGAGACATTATATTTCGTACCAGAATTTTTTTACTTGAATTTTTTCGTCGAAAATACTATTGTCTTTTTTTAAGACCGCAAAAAAGATATTAAACTCAAGAAATTTCATACTCTTCTACTGCTTTATTATTCAAGTATATATTATCCAGACTGTCATAAATATTTTATTATTTACTAGAACTACCTAATTTTTAATAGCTTCATTTAAACATACCGCAAATGTATTTCAGAAAGTGAATTTTCCGTCAAATATATTACATGAGTATGATGCAAAATATAATAATTATTTATTATTATAAATCATTATTAAATATCTCCAACTAAATGTTAATTTAAAAAATTAAATAGTATATCAATTTAAAATTAAAAATATATAATTTACGACTATGATATTTGTATTTATTTAACATAAGAAATATTTAACAGTAATATTATTTAATAATACATAAGTTATTTATTAAAAAACTTAGAAAAAAAAAAATAATTTTATTGTTATAATAATTGTATAATTTGTCAAGAATATGAACAAAAAATGATTGTACAGTTTTTTTTTAATTGAAAATTTTCATTATTTTTTGTATTACGATGATTGAAAATTCTTGAATAATAAATGATAACAAATTTCAAGAAAGTATGACTAATTTTATTATTATCGATCGTCAAAGTCACTATCTAGTGTAAAATAATTATGATAATTATACTGATCACTTACAAATCAACTTCCGAATTACATCATTGAGTTGAGTTTCTATAATATAATTGATAAATTAAAAATTTCAAAAGCAATTTAACAGTACAGTAAAAAATAAATATTTGCAAAGATTTTTTTATTATTTATTAGACGAGTGCATGATAATCTGAGAATAATTATTTTTGAGTGCTGATTTAATTAAAATGAAGGTAGTGATTGACTTCATTACATATGAGTTACCCAACGGAGTATTTGCATTGAAAGAGTTTGGTATGTCGAGCATCGAAGAAGACGAAAAAGGAAATTACCAGACATCTCATTATATCTTCAAGCCGCCGTCCGATTGGTTAGAGTTACCACTTGAGTTTCAATTAACGTATAAAGAGCAATTTAAACACCATGGTATCCCATGGGAGGCTGGTTCCACCGAGTACAATGACACAATTCAAGTAATCTTCGAAGATCTGGAGCATGTTACTGGCATATTCGTTGATTCTCCCAAGTCAAAAGTTATCTTGGAAGATATAATAGGTAAAAATAAACCAATTAACCCGATAGAAGGCTTGGCGTGGCTGAACAATAATCATAAAAGTACTCGCAAAGCTTGCAAAGTTCACCAAGGTGATCAATTTTACTGCGCTTACAATAATGCAAGGCGGATGTCTTTTTGGATGAAGGCTAATGAAGTCCTTGCTGAACTTATTGGTAGCAAGCCAACCATTACTATGATGAAACATATTAATATCAATAACACTTTTTAATATTTTAATAAATCACTATTTAATAATTTATTTTAATTTTTTAATGATTCGCTAAATAAAACTGAGAAAGTAAAATTTTTTTTGAAAAAAAAATGACTAATGTTGTGATAAGAAATTAATTTGTTAAAAATATTAAATAATGTTATTTCTTCTTAGCTGAAAAAATAAAAATTTTTTGTTGAAAAAGTTTTTTTTTAAATCAAAAAATTTTTTTCAACAAATTAATTTCTTCTTGCAACAATGCCCATTTTTTTTTTAAAAGAAATTTTTTCTTTTAGTGTATTTAATAAATATGTTTGACAGAATTCATGATTATTTATTTAAAATTAAAAAATTATTATAGCTTATAAAATATAAAGAAAGAAGAAATCGAAAAATATAAAATTATATTGTTTTTTTTTTTTTTTATAGTTAAGCTCTGTTCAATTAACAAAGAAGATTATAATGTATAAAATTAGAAAAGGGATTTTAATTAGCATAGATGATTTAAAATAATAAAAATTATTGCTTTTAAGTTATAATCAAATGCATTGTTTTTATTTTCATCACATAACAGTGACATGTAGTGTAAATTTGTTAATTATTTATGACAAATTAAAATATATATTACAATTCTTGTTCCTTATTACATTTATAATATAATAATAATAATAATAATAATAATAATTATTATTATAATAAAAGAAATTAATAAATTTATTATTACCTTCAAGCACATAAATATTAAAAATATTGTTTCTATAGTATAAATATTGTACTTAACACTAATTGTAAAGATTGAAACGTACACTTTTTACAAGACTAACTCAGTCTAAAAGTTATATTATTATTATCATTAAAAAAAAAAATGATCAATTAAATACAAACGGTGCATTTAATAAATAATAAAAATTATAAACAATTACATCGGTTAAAGTAGTTTAAAGTTAGTAAGTATAAAATAGAAAAATTAAAATTTTACTATCGGAAGTTGAAAAAATTATCGCTACGGTAATTATCTATTAATTAAGTTTTTTAAAAATATCAATAAATAATAATGGATTAAATACTGATGTACAATGGCGTCTAATGACAGACATATAATTAACTCTACATATGGCAGTGTAAATAATTTATAATTTAAAAATTACGATCTGTTTATATAAAAAACATTGTTATTCTTTACTATATGATGACTTTTGATCCCTATTTATTTGTATGGTTATTTAATTCCTTTATTTATTAACAATAACTATTTTTATAAATGTATTGAATTTTTTTACAAGATTTTACTTTGCTTTTTAGCATCTTTTGGCTTCGTTAAGTCTTACGTCTTATTTATTTCCGGTGATTTATAAATAAATCGCTTTCATAAGGATCAAATTACATAAAAAAGGAACCGCGATTTTACATTTATTTATATGTATAAATTTATGAAAGTACTATTATCATTGCGACACAGTCTTTGGAAAAATTCCGGAAATTAAAAAATTATTTTTAACTTTATATGTATAAATAAATATCTATTAATATATTTATTTATTCTATAAATTTAAAAATAAACTTTATTGAATAGGACATGAACTTAAGTGAATATTGTGTAACTCGGCCATATCAGTCCAATCTCTTCTTTCTCCACCAATCATAACGTTTCTTATGCAACCGTTAAAATGGTCGCGATTCATTAATGTCCCTTTTGGAGCTGATGCTGTAAAAAAAAAAAAAAATCAAGAAATAAATAATAATAGAAAATTTATTACAAAAATTGATCAATTAATTACTTAATTAAATTACCTGGCAATCCACCAATATACAAAGGACTAGACGCAGTGGAAATCATAAAGTGTTCATTGATAGTCGCCGGCAATCCGTACTTTTGATCTAAGTCATCAACTTTCAACGTCAACTCATCATCGTTATAAACAGCTTGTATCCTGTGCCACCTGTTATCGCAAATTGCATAGGGACTCGGAAAACTTTGTTCCACATACAGAGGACTCTTATCACCTAGATCCGCGGACATTATGACTTTTCCGTTGTGCAGTTCCAGGGACATTGAAGGCGAGCCGTCGGGCGCAGTTATTGATAACAGTACACCTGACAATTCCGATGTTCTAAATTCTAGTTGTAACTCCAATAAAGAATTTAATTCGAAATTCCTCTCTGAAATTTATAAATGATAAATTATTATCCAAACCTTCCTTTAACCCTTCAGTACCCGCGTTATGAGATTTTTATTCATGCTCAATTTCAATCTCAATTATTTATTTAAGGAGGTACTGTGCAAAATCACTTTTCTTACAATATTCTTCAGTTTTTGAATGTGAGTGAATTCCATACATGTTTGTAAATTAATTAAAATTCATTAAAATTGATTACAATGAATTAAAATTAACTAAAATTAATAATTTCGTTAAAAATAATAATATTTACTTCTAAATGTCCTCCATACGAATAAATTTTTTTTAATAGTCCTTGCGGTGCTAATTTTCGAAATATTAGCAATTAAAAATCGTACATTTAACATGTATTCCCTATCCTGACCATAATTAGAGTGAACATTTTATTGAACAACAACCATGCTTTTCTTAGAATTTTTTTGAAAAACTGAGAATATGTAATTGAAGTTATAACAAATATTTTTTATCAAAAATAACATAAACGAGCGGTATTCATTTTTTATAAAAAATGTTTGAAGTGTGCGACTTTCGATAATTAAATAATTAAATTCAAATGGAAAGGCCACTTGAAAGTTTTTTTATCTTCCTATAACTTTGTATTCTTAAAATTTATGCAACAAAACGTATCAAATTTGTTTAAAAATAACGAAAAAAAATGATTTTTGGAGGAAATGAGATTTTTTCTCATAGCAAGAGTATTAAAGGTTGTTAAAAATCGAGCTATTCGACTCCTTACAGCGTAGATCGGCTCTTTTCGGTAAGCGCTTCGCCGATATATTTGTTAAGATCGTATGTTAATATGTGAGATTTTTTATCATGACGAGAATAAAGAAAGTGAGCCGAATAACGTGGGTACTGAAGAGTTAATCAATAATAACAGAAAAATACATAAATTTAATCAAAGAATACATACTATAAATAGCGTAAGCTTCATCCTGGAAGTAAGCTCCGCTTTCAACACTCGGAAAGCATTGTCCGACATTGAAAGGCCTGCTCGTGGAGCCCACCATGTCATAAATATTTCCATTAACCCTAAGCCCTCTGATACACCCCTTGAGTGTTTCCAGTTTGCCTACAACTTGATCTGGGAACGGTGTTCCGCTTTCGGGCAGCCCTCCAATATACATCATAGTCTCCAAGCCGATCTTTTTAGGCACCTTGATCATTCTGGGCGTCTGGGAGTCGACGACCAGCGTCAACTTTCGCTCGTCATGATTGATGACAACGTGGTGCCAGTTTCCGTCGTTAAACGGGCTCTTGAAAACAATTTCTTTCTTCATCTTGCTCTTCATCGCCAGCATCAGCTGCCCGTCCTTGACAATCACCATCAAATACTGCTTCCTCTTGATCCCCGGAGTGATAAACAGCAGCCCATTCGGATAGTAAGTCCTGAAGTCAAACTCAATTACATACCTTTTCTCCCAGAATTTCTTAAAATTCAAGTACAGCTGAGTGTGGCTGTGCGACTTGTCCCCGAACTTGAGCGCTCCGGGTTCCAGCGAGTAGTAAGGAACCTTCTGACAGCCCTCGGGCTGAGTATTCAGCCCCCGAGACAGCGAAGCCGAGGGGGTGTAACTAGGAGGGTCCTTCCCCATCACCGGACCAGCTCTTCCCAGTAATGCATGATCAAACGCGACAGCTTCGTCGAATCTCACGACCTCGTCATTGAAAACCGCGTCTTTTATCGCTCCATACAGCGGAATACTCGAGCCAATCATTTCGGTGTTGTTAATCAGCGCGGGAAGTCCTCCGAAAAACAGTCCGCCGAAATCGCGAGCTCTTACAGCAGCGCCAGAAGGAAGTTTGCCGCTTCCTTGATACGCGTCGTCAATTCTCAACTCGATTTCCTTTCTCCTCTTGATGAACGAAACCGCGTGGTACTTTCCGTCATTGTAAGTGTTGTTAGACTGGAGAACAACTTCGCCTTTTCCAGCATTGACTCTCACTTGGACGTGTCCTTCGACAATCGCAACTGAGTAGTAGATATTTTTATTAACATCTTCATTATCATTGATGATGTTGAACCGGTCTTCCTGGCCCTGGAAGGTCGACAGTAGTAAGGCGGCGTCAGGCTGCATTGTCCTGAAGGAGAAGCTAACTGCTGAGTGGATTTTCTTGAGCGGCCATGAGCGATGCTCCAGGTACCCGTCGCCGTAGAACCCGACGATTTTCAGCGGCTTGTTACCACAAGTCGGCTCGACACCATAGTATTGCTCGGCCATGGGGTCGTAGCCGTCTTGAATAATAATGTTCGCCATGCACCCCAAAAAGGAGACTTCTCTGGGCAATTGAAGCTGAGACGAAGCCTTGAAACTAGGTGGAACGCCTCCAATGTAGTACTTGGCTTGCGACAAGTCTGGAATGTCGTCTTTCTTGGGCTGGGGTGTCGGGGCTCCGATTCGCTTGTCGTTATCGCCGTCACCGAGGCTCAAACTGCACTTTTCGATGTTCTTCCTCGGCTGGTACTGTCTGAAAGCGTCTACCTTCGTCCAGTTACCGGTGTTGTATCGGTAGGAAGAGGACATCTCCATGGAGATGTTGTTTCCATAGCCAATTTGCAGGATAACTCGGCCCTCACGCAGGAATATCATTATGAACTGCTCCGTCGACGGGTTTACTGTCAGGAAGAGCAGAGCATTTTCGTCGTAAGTGCGGAAGTTCAAAGAAACACCGAATGTGTACTTGCTGTAGGGACCAGAATTAACGCGGTTCCTCACTGCGTAACCTTCACCGTTGAAACTGTACGCGAAGTCGTCGCGGATTGTCTCAACACCTTCCACGCAAGCCTTGCAAGCCTTATCGGGTGCAGTTGTGATGAAGTTCCACAAGCCGAGAGGTTTTCCGTCGAAAATCACCTGATGGACGCATCCTGGCAGGCCGTTTGTTGACAGCAGTTCTGCAGAATGTCTTTGTGATCCTGGTGGAATGCCTCCGAGCCACACGCGGTCGCTTCTGCCGACATCTAGTCGTCCAAATTCGGGATTAGTTGAGTTGATAACGGGCAAGAATTTTCCGCTAGTAGAAATCTGTTTGCGAACGCTTAGTTTTCCGGTGTGACGAACCCGGTCGGCTTCGATGCGGTACCAATTGTTGTCATCTTGCGGGTCTCCACTTTCAAGAACTTCGGGGTGGACTAGGACACCAGTGTCGCCACCTACGTTCCAGAGGAACCGAACTTTGCTGTCGTAGAGCTCAAGAGCGATAAAGTCGTCGTTTTGAGAACTGGGCAAGTAGAAAAGAAGACCATCTTTGCGGTGGTGGGTCACTGCGAAGGTTATCACGATGGAGGTGGTAGTCGAAGGCTGGAGATTAGCCGGTCGGTACGAACGAGTGCACTTTTTACTTTCAGCGGGCTTGAGAGATATGCGGATACCATCTGCGGTATTGCGGGCTTCTGTGATCTTGGCTTTCAGGTCCTTTAATTTGCTGGCGAGGGTAGTGTTCCATTTATTGAATTCGTGTTGCCGTTTGGTAGAAGCATGAGCGAGACTAATAAGTTTAGCGTCAGTTTTTTTAATATTCGACTGCGCCTCGGTTAGCTTCTCGCTGGCCAAACTGATCTTGGAGTCGCCCTCACGCTTGAGCTCGTGAAGTTGCGGGTACAGGTCGTTCGCAAGACCTTCTTTGTAGTCGTTAATCAGTTTTTCAGACTCACTGATTGTTTCGATTAGCTTTCTGTGCTCGGATTTTATTTCAACAAGACGTTCCTGGAGCTTGTTGCTCTCAGTCTGCAGCTCGCGGAGCTTTATGTTTATCTGGTTGTCTTTCACTCCGGTGCTGTTCAAAGAGTCCTTTATGTCCACGACAATTTGTTTTTGCGCGTCTAGCTGAGTTTTGGAGAAACCGAGCGAACCGCGGAGTTCTTGAGCTTCCTCTAACTGGAAGGTTGATTTTTCTGACATTTCTGCGGCGCTGTCTAATAATGATTTGCCTTGAGGACCTTCCGGAAATACCTAAATGAAATAAATTGGTAATTTTTTATTTTTTTTTTACATTTAATGATTATAAACATTGAAATTTGAATCAGTTACTTTGTAATAAACATTCCAAGCAGCATCTTTAGCCAATGACGCAGACATTTTTGCAATTGACAAATAATCAAGAATGTTTTTGTAGACTTGACTCGCTTTAAGTGGGTTTGCTGCATCATTCCGTGTTCTATCGAACAATCTATAATCGCAAAATAAAATATTCTTATGTAAATACATTTTACGGTATAAATTTATTATAAAAAACTTACGCAACATATTGGTCAACATAATCAGACAAATTTCTTGCGTGTTCAGCCGCTTTAGCGACGTATTTTTCTTGATACTCATAGTTAAGACGATACAATATTTCTTCTTTGATGTCCAACTTCTCGGACCATTGGTCCAACTTGCTTTTTAATTCAGGAAAGTCCTTTGGAAAATAACAATAAATAATTTAATTAAAAGATTCAATAGAAAAAAAAAGAAAAGTAAAATATTGAATTACTTGAAAGTTGTTTTGGCTGTCAACAATAAAACCTTTGGCCTCTTCGTTCAATTTACTGCCCTCATCAATCAACTCCGTGATATCTTTATCAATGATGATGGTGTTATCATTCTGATTTTTTATAATACTGTAATTTTTATTGATAGCACGGAATAAATTATCGTATTCGTAAAGATTGTCCATCGTTTCGTCTATTTTTAAATTTAGATCATCTACTTTTTTAAAGTACTTGGTAACATTATGCTTTAAATAATCAAAAGGTTTTGTAGCGTCAAGATGGGATTTTGATTCGCCAATGTATTTTTTTGAGTCGTCATTAATTTTATGACACTCTTTTAATTTCGGGGAAAAGTCAATACTTCGTAAATACTTAAGAATTGAGTCAGCTTCTCTAAGTACGTTTTTAATTTCTACTGTCTTCAAATTATCACCGTAATTATTTAATTGCATCGTAGTAGCTTCCAGTAAAGCGCGTAAATTTTTAATCTCCACGTTTGCGCTAAAAATATTATTTTTTACATCTTCACACTTGGGTTTTAAATCCCACGATTTACTGCTGATGTTAACGATATTTTTGAACAATGATTCGACTTTGTGGAGCATTTTCTTGTATTCTGACCAAGGGATATTGTGCATACGCTGTCGTAATGATTTTTTCTCGTTAATTATATTAAGCAATTCAGTTGTGTTGGCGTCTATGAATGTTAGTTCGACCCATGGTGGTGGTATGTAGCCATTAGCGATGTGCGTTGTTTCGGTTATCAATAATTCTGATAGTAATGACATCTCATCTAATAATATTCCTGTGCAATTATCGTTACATGCTGCAATTAGAAGAAATATCAATATTAGATTTAGATTAAAAAAAAATTTTTTTTGTAGTAAAATTTTATAAAATTAAATTATTGAATTTTATAAAATTAAATTATTGATAAAATTAAAAAATCCATATTTTTAAAAATTTAATTTCTAATAAAAATTTAATAAACAAAAAAAAATAACAACTGGTAGATAAAAAATGAATTCTGAAAAATTAAACGATAATAATTATGGGTACATACATGTGCAGATATTATCAATAAACACATGACGAGAGGCAGTACACTGAGAACAATCTCTTCCAGTAGATCCAGGCCTGCAGTTACATTGTCCCGTTTGTTCGTCGCATTCATCACTGGCACTTCCCGCTGGGTTGCAGTTACACGGGCTACAAACTCCACCAGGGATATCAGGGTACCCATAGTACCCATAAGAACATTTTTCACATCTAACACCACTGTATCCTGTAACATTTATTCCCATCTCGTATTATATTCATCATATACTTTTACTTAACTAAGCTTTAAGCCCGTACTCGGTTAAAATCCTCCCGTAGTAAATATAATTTATTTACAAACAAATAAATTAACTAAAAATAATGTTTTACCTGGCTTACAATGACACACAGGTTCTTCATTTTTACGTATTTTGCAACCAACCGCGAATCTTTTATCCGTGTGCGGACAAGGGCATGATTTGCATCCATCGTAATCGGGGTTTCCGTAGAAACTTTCTTCACATTTTTCGCAATATTCACCGGCTGTATTTTCCCGACAATTCTAAAAGTAAATTATTTGTTGATTAAAAAAAGTAAATTTTTTTTTTTTAACAGTCGTTTAATTTGGACATGCTTACTCAATTAAAAGAAGACTAATTTCATTTGTAATTAACTTTTTACCTCAAAAATATTATCGCAATTATTATATTCATATTATTCATACACGACGATATTATTTTATTATCAATAAAAGTAAATTGGCTGTAAATTACTTGTCGTGTTTGTCAATTTCTCTTTTAATAGTAATCAACGTTTAATGATCGCATTAATATACTACAATTAGAAAAAAAAAAAATAAAAAATGAGCGTATTAACAAACTTACTAGACAATAACCGGTTTCAATATCGCATACATCTGATCTGCCACTGCATTGACAACGCTTAGCTTGGCCTATTAATTCAATTACACTTGTCGATGTAGTAGTTGTTAAATTGGCATTGTACCACCGGTAATAACCGACACTAGGATCCTGACACGACGTATTGTTGTACTCAGCAGGACACTCACAAACTTCAACGCCTATTGCCAGCGACGGAGAGTGCGTGGGTATTAGTACAGCTGCATCCATTGAAGCTTCTAATAATCTGTTAATATAATGTAATATAAGTATTACATTTATTCAGTTGCTCCATTAGCGTTAAAATAAATTAATTTAAAAAAATCAAAATACTTACATAGCTTCTTCAAAGTCCGAGTTGTCGGAAGCTTTCACCAATATTGACTGGACATTCTGCAACGCGACCATCAGAACTTCTCGAGACACTTTGTAGTCGGGTCGATTTTGTAATTGCCAAAGTGATTCGTGTAATCTTTTATTTCAATTTTAAAAATATTTTAATATTATTTTTATGATATAAATTTTGAGATTTAAAAGTTTATTGAAAAGTAATTAATTACCGTATTTTATAGTAATCATCGGTCGATGTTAATTGCTGGTAATATTCTAATACTATTTTATTATTGCCTTGGATTTGTACTAGTGGATAACGAAGACTAGATCTTAATGGTACTCCGCCTTCAGTGAATAATTTTAATTTTAAATAACCGCCGTAGGAAACAATCTGAAATATTTATTTGAATTTTTTTTTTTTTATTATTTTGGAAATTATTTTTAAGGTACCTTAAAAATAAAAATCCGCAATGACTAATTTCTGTAAATTTATAAATACGAAAAAATAAAAATTATTTATTAATTTTTATTACGCTGTTATTCAAATTTAAAATATTGAACTGAATGTTATAAATAATTATTATCTATATTATTAAGAGAATAAGAAAAAATTTATGTCCAAGATAGTCATATTTATGATGATAAGTATTTAGGCTGCATTTGAAGATGCTTCATCTTTAAATACATAATTAAGAAATGACTTTGTATCTTGTCAATTATTGACATTTTTTAAAATATAAGCTCACCCCGATATTACACTCATCGAGACCTTTCATTTGAGTACCCACATCAATTTTTCATATAT